GTTCTAAAGAGCATCATTTGAGCGTGCTGAGATGTATTCCGTGTTTTAACGTAAGGCCTGAATTGGGACGTCGGCGTCACTTGAGGCAACCTTGACTTATGGTGACTTAACCCTTCAACATTTTGTTGTTACTTGGATCTTATTTCTCCTTGCAGTGTCATTGCCGGCTCAAACATTAAGGTCACTAGAATAGTTAACAATTATTCACTGAAGCGGAGGGGAATAGTACTTGCTAATCACATTCGAATCAGCCAATCAGCGTGCGCGAAAAGCACTATTTACCTGTGTGGTATATACCATGTCAAATGATCACCTTTGAAAGATGCGGTTGGTTCTCATACTAATTTCCCTTGTTGATACCATACGATATGTGTACAGAACAGTATGGAAGATATGCACGCTGATGTAATGGTATAAAGGGTAAAAGAAACTTAAAGTGACACCATTGCAGTCAACGAATCTTTGTAAGAGAGGGAAAATGGAACTGAAGAGAAAGTGTGATAGTAGAAGTTATGACTGCTAAATATGACAGAGATTGAGAAATCCCCTCGAATGTAAGAGAACTAGAAGTCAACGAAGTCCGCCGCACGAGTGAAACATTAATTTTCTAACATCAATTTTTTTGATCCGTGCGACGGACTTCACCGAAAAAGAGGGATTGCTCGTAGCCTACCACCAACATAGCTCCGCACTATAATACTTTTATTGACTCATAGACGCTGCGAGGAAACTGGGATGAGGTCACAGTTCACAAGAACATGTTCGAGCGACGTATTAGTGCACGTTATGTACGTTTTAATCCAAGGGCCTGGAGACCACTCGGACAGATTTGCATGAGGGTAGAAATTTACTTATGCCAGGTCTATCAAGGTGAGTTTACTGGACCCATTGATATCAAGTTAGAAGCAAGAACTTGAAAAAGGTTAAGAAGTTGTAATTTAGGCTACTTGGCCTTGTGTAGCACCATTGTATTGGTGAACAAGTTAGCTTTTGAGCAATTCAATGATCTCAGAATTTGTAGATTCGTTTTGTTGATGTTATCTAACGGTTGTCCTATCAGAGCTACCTTTTTTAGTTCATACCGCTTTATCAGTTGATTTATCAGAGCTCTCGATGTGGGTATCTGAGCAACTGGGCACTTACCCCTCCCCTTATCCCGCATTAACCCTCGCTTGCTATCAGTTGACTGTTGTTACGCGCCAACCCCTCCACACCTACCCCTTCGCACCTACCCCTCCCCCAGCCCAACAGCAGTCAACTTATAGCAAGTAAGGATTACTGCTGGATTAGGGGAGGGGTAGGTGCGCAGTTTGCTCACATACTGATATTGGTCCCATTCACATATCTTTTCTGTTAACCGGTCAGAGCACTTCTTTCCTTTACGCCTCGTTTTGGTTGACCTATCAGAGTTCTTGTTCCATTCAAACATCCTTTAAGTTGACCAGTAAGAACTATAGTATCATTCGCATCCTTTTTGAGTTGACCAATAGGAGCTCTAGAGAGTTAACAGAATTCTTTTTCGTGGATATTTTAGGATGTTTCAAGCCCACAGAGCGGACTCCACCCTCAACTACGACAACCTCCGCGGATAAGACCCTTCCATGTACAAGAAAATCCACGCAAACCGCGACAATAAAACCGATTACCAAACGTGAAAACCCAACCGTTGCAAGTGAAAGCGTGGCTAGAAAACTTTATTCAAAAGGATTCCGTAGAAAATCAACCGACACCATTTGCCTTATAGCAGCGTGGTTTTTGCTGATGGCGAATTTGTTTGTGGATTAGCTGATTACAAGGAATTGGATTTCATGCCCGACTAGGAATTTCGCTAGTGGCATAAGAAATGAATTTCGATTCATTAGACCACAAAGAAGTTGGATAAAGAATAGAGCTGATACGGAGCTCCAAGCTCAATACTGCAGAGTAAAACTGAGATAATTTTGACACAAAGGGAATAAGAGGACATCAAAGTATTTCGAAGGCTTCAAGATCTTCACGGCATCATATAAAGTTCACATACATAAATAGTTTTGCATAATAAAAAAGAACGATGAAAAGATACAAAGTGCGGCAACACTGATGTAGAATACACATTTTTTTTTTAACAATTAAAAAAGCTACAAATCACGGAGGCTGCGTCTGGAATAAATAAATACAAAAATAAATATCCTATTTTACAGGGAGTTACGGAATAGCTTTAGTACTTACACTGCGTTCGCTGTGTGCTAACATATCCTGTGCGCACTGCTTAAAGAGAATGCTTCTAGAGGATGGTTCAGAGGGTAGTCCTGGGTTCTAGTCCTGTACTTCAACACCCTCATGACTAGAAAAAGTGTCGCTAGATTAGGGGTGTCCTTCAATAAAGCAAACAAATTCTGAAGAGAGATACTAAGGAACTTCATTCAGGGGGCACCCTGGGTACTAGAAAAAAGAGTCCTGAAATGAGATGTGCCTTTAAGGAAGTCAAAGGGGCCAAAGAGTACAAAGGTTTTTAAAAAACATCTTTTCAGTTGGGACCAAAGTTTAAGTCCCTTGAATATAGGTGCCCCGAAAAAGAAGTGTTCTAAAACGAGATGTTCCACAGTATTATAAACGCGTTCTATATCAATTAGATTTAGAAATATTCAGTTTTCACAATTAACGCCGTGGGATCCTTCAAGTAATCCCGAGCAAACTTAATAATTTGCTGGGAAGTTATCTGATTGAGCCGCGTCTGGATTCTAGTCCCCAGACCCTGTAGTTCTTCGACAGGAGGATAAAAAGCAGCATGTTGATGATCATCGTGTTGAATGATGCACAGCCGGGGATAGTGGTACAAGGGAGGGATGTTCTCGGCTTGTCTTCCTAAATAAGGAGAAAAAAAAAAACAATTCATAGTCGTACGAGAAAAAAAGTCATGAATTAGAAACTTGCCTCTGCCTAACAAATATCTAATCGAAGATTAGACGAAGAGAAAAGCGAGAAAAAAAAAAAAACAGTTTGAGAACGGGGAATGGGTGAGTGGGAAGGGGGGAGGGGGGCCCAATCCCCACCCCCTCACCCTTGCCACATCACTGTAGCACAATTCCTTCTCAGCCATTCAAACTAGAGCCTTTTTAAAAGCCGATGAGATCCTTCCGGCAGGTTCTCAGTAATTTTTCAATGGAATAGATTCCAAAGGGGTGTCATGAAACCAAATCGCATATAATCAAAACTGCCTGTAAGTAAAAAGTTAAACAGTTAAACGTCGTAAAGAAAAGTGTGACTAATTTACCCCGTTCACTCTCAAACTTAATCGAAATAAATACTGAGCTGAGCTATGCAAAACCAAGTCACAATGAGTTAAACTCGGGGAGAGAAAGAAGCGCCTTACCAAAAGCATGCTTGGCGTGGTAATCTCTAGGTACAAAGCGACTTGCCCAGTGCGCGAACTCGTCTATATCCAAAGTCACAAACACCATTTCATTGTACATCGTGTAAGCTGATTCTAAGAGCTCCTGAAAAAGAACAAATACAGATTCAGGTTAAAGTCGTCTTCGCAGCCATTGATCGGTATCGTCACGCAAGGCGTTCTCTTCGCGTAGTCCGGCAATGTGCGTTGCGTGACATAACCAAACATCGGCTGCGATTAACGATACCAACTGAAGGAGACTGAGCTATTGACGAACGACATCACAAGCATGGTAACGGAATTCGTTAGTCATTGAATTTCCTCACTTTATAAAATGAGCTGTCTTTCGATACGTTGTTCTTGTGTGCCAATGCAAACAGTATGGGTAAGTTATGCGCATAAGGTTCGAAGTTCGCATCTTCTTCAGACCTGAAAGGAAAGAAAATACCAACTGTCAAAGGAGTAATCGACAAGACTGACTTTCGTGAAAAATAAAAAATTTTCCAACGCCTCCCTAATCTGGTGAAAATTTAATTTTGAGTATAACCTTTACTTTTGCGAAGGTAAGACCTCAAAAAGACCTCAGCAAACCTCTTTCCCAGGGTCTCTCATATCTCATGATCCCTTCCACTCCCCACTCTATACCCCCTCCCCCTTTCGATAAGTAATGCCTGTCTTTTCTAGCCTGGACTGTTTTTGATTTTGCATTTTTAAACAAATCACTTTGCTAAGAGCAAGAAAAACCCTGAAAAGTGGTTTGCATACTAACCCCAACTTGGTGTGAAATGCAGCCGAAGTCATATGAAGAACTGGAAGTCTTCGGTGATCTTGAACAAAGCGTACAGCAATATCTGTGCATATTTTGTGGTTGTGTTCGCATTTGAAGTTCTTGGGCATGTCGTATCTGTAAACATTAAATCACGAGTTCTTACCCTGAAACGGTGTTGTTAACTTAAGGGTGGTCATTGTTAACATAAGGGTGGTCCTGCAAAGGGAATATTGTCAGTAAACGGTCGGATCAAGAAATTCTTACTGAAACCGACGAGAGGGGGGGGGGGATCTATCATTCCCTATCATTCTCTCCTCCCCAACTTCACTCGCAGTTACACACATGAAAAAATAAAAACAAAAAAACAGCCGCCCTAGTGGTTATTGCGATTCTCTCATTACAAGAATGTTGATGTCAGATAAGTTGTAAAAGAAAACCCCCAGGGGTAAGATGGGGGGGTTCAGAACCCCTGACTTTCCGTCTGTATCTACCCTTGCAGTGACAGTATCAGAATCAAAGTGTAACGCTCGAACCTCTGACACGGTCCATCATAACAAACTACGTCAGATCCGTGGGGGGAGAGGGAGGGGAGAAGTCGCACAACACTGGCGTCAACTAAGGATCTTACCACCCCGCCATGATTTGTGTTATCTAAACAGAAATATTCAAAAACTATGAAAATGTCTAGATGAACTCAACCCTTTTATTTTCAAGAGCTAAATATAAATTCTTAGCAGTGTCTGTCATACAGCATATCTTAACATTTTAGTACAGAGGGTTTGGCGTTGAATGAAAAGATGTCGCTTAGATGATGTGATTCTTTCTTCTCATCGCCTTTTTGCTTGAAAATTTATCGATATTGTAAGGATAAATTCAACTTTAATCTCACTGGTGAGAGAGTACATTGGACGGAACTAACCTGTGAGTGTCGTGAAACATGTGTAGTCTGGTGTCTCTCTGATTGTTGATCAGAGATTCCACATTTTGACCCAGCTGAAAAACTTTCACTCGGACACCATCGCTTCTTTGAAGCTCCAGCTGAAAACAAACGGTAAAACTGACAGATGATCCAAAGCAAATATCGATAATCAAAACAAAACAACGACAACAACGAACAGAATAAAACAAACAAAAAGATATCCATGCGGAAATGCGTTTTCTATCAAAAAGATGTTGACAAAATTGTTCGAAATTTTGTCAACTTCTGCTGTCGACCTAAATCCGTAGGCAACTGTCTTCCTTTTTGTTAGAAAAGAACCAAAAAGACATTTTACGAAAAACCGTACCAGGGCGATAAAATTATCTTCTACACGATTTTCTCATGCCTTAAAAAGTGTTTAAATTAGTTTAATTTACTTTTTCAGTTGAACATCCAAATTAAAATATCGTTTCACAAGCCGAAGCACGAGATGCCGAGTTCCAAAAGTTTAAGGGCCGGTTATTTAAACGAGGTCTAATCAAAACCACGGTTTTACGCAAGCAGCGGGCCTCAGAAGTTCTCTAGAAAGAGGGTTGATTTAATTAAATAAATGTCGTTTCACTATTAGCTTTCAGCCCTCTTGACACTGTTCACTATAATAGACGTTCAGATAAAAGGTTCGGATAAATTGAAGATAGTTTAGAACATGGTTTTGTAAAACAATGACGGCTAAACTTCGTTTAATAACCGGTCCTAAGAATTCAGTTTTCTTTTGATTCATCGACGCAAAAAAAAAAAAACAAAAAACGATAGCAATAATCCACAATTCATTATTTTACAAACCCAGCTGGACAAAACTCCATGATGTTTTATAAATTATAATAATGTAACATCCGAGTTTTTACTCAATAATTTCCATTTCGAACTATTTCTTGTTCAATTGTAAGTATTTCTCAACAATAATCAAATTTAGTTCGGGCAGCCAGCTTGGATAGTTTACTTAGACATCTCAGTCTTGATTATACTGACCCGCCAAGGACTAGCTATGGCTATTGCCATAATGTACTAATGTTTTACTGTAAGGACTGAGTGTTCAGTGTACCTTTGATAACACAAGATCTTGATCGCTAGCTTTCGTTTTACTTCCATCATCAACAACATCTCTGGTGTAAATTGCATAGCAAGGTACCCGGCCATACAGAAGCTCACAAACCAGTTGGAAACAGTGAAGAGGGTACCACTTGTTGGCGAGAGTTGTCGCAAGATAGCGGCGAGCAAGAGTCCGTGTGTATAGCGTACCAATCAACCTGACGTCCACATCCTTATAGAAATGAAAAAAACAACACAAGAAAAATACAATCAGTCATTGTATCTTGTTGAAACCAAATGAGAGGTATTCACTTTAAAACTGGTAATCGAAAAGCCAAAACCTAAAGACATCGAAACAGCCAATCAGAGCCGGCACAAGAAAACTATGACTAGGACCAATGTGGTCAGAGAAAAACACGTCGGGCCAGTTATTTAAACAAAGTTTAGCCGTTGTTTAACAAAGCCGCGATCTACACAATCCTCAATATTATATGAACATCTGTCTTTGTGAACAGTGTTAAGAGGGCCGAAAGCTAACAGTGGAAGGAAATTTATTGAATCAAATCAACCCTCTCATAGAAAAAACGTAAGGCCCTCTGATTGCGTAAAGGTTAGACCTCGTGTAAAATAAACGGCCGGTAAACTTCTTGAAAGGCGGGAAAACGCGGAACACCGAGTAGCGTTAACTTTGACTCTGTTTTTGATTGGTCGAGGAAGAGGCGCGCTTTTACCTTGCCAATCACAGAGCATTAAACTGCGACAATCCTAGATTACTTTCCACGCTCGATTCAAAATTGCATCGCGAGCGTTCCAGAAGGCGCCAAAAGTTCGAGGGAAAACCAGGGAAAGCGTTTGGATTTGATATATTTGCATTCAAATGGCTCAGAGAGCAACCGGTTTTACAGCTATGTGATCGAAGTATTTTGAGCCAAAAGCAACTCGTATACAGCAAAAGAAGCAACTGAAAGAAGAATACTTTCTTGGAAGACTGTTCAAAAATAGCATTATCAGGGCACTTGTGGTAAGCATCATCGAACTAATACACCAATGCTAAAGCACAATTTAACGCTGTATTGTCAAAGACGGTTTGAAAACAATTGATTACTTGAATCCTACGTCAAATTTAGTACACCAGTTTTTTGTGCTGAGTTTTATCCCGGTGAAACTGGTTTAACTTAACATGTTTTCCTGGTGTGAATGGAGCAAGATCTTTTTGGTTAGTGTAAAACTTTGAGCGTCTTCTAGCGCCACGTGTCTTAAAAATCGTTATGACACAAAGAGACACAAACAGAAACGCTAAAGCTGTCTGTGTCTACATTAAAGACTAAAGAATGACACTAAAACAGATACCATTTCAGGAATAGAGTCAAATAAGTATCTTCTATCCACAGCAGGCTGACAAACGTTGGATAACCACTCTAGTACAAGTTTTGCCTGAAAATGATAAAGAAGAAAACTTTAAATCCAACTTTACATACTGCCTAAACTTATATCGCAGCTTCTAATACTGAGAGCACAGCTCTTACATCTTTTTCTACGCGATCCTAACGTGCCCTTAAGAGAGTTTAAGAGGATTCTAGGTCTCATTTGAACCTAACCCACAAAAGGATCGACGAAAGAACTTTTCACCTCTAAAACGTTATGTATAGTCTCTTTTCGCCTGTTTTACGCTCTCAGACAGTGGTGCGACGAGCGAAGTGCGGGCGCGCATGCTCTCACTCAGTCGTGCGACAAGTGAAGTGTGGGCGTGCATGCTCTCAGTCAGTCGGTGGTGCGACGAACGAAGTGCGGGCGCGCGCAAAAAAAAAAAACCTACACGAAGTGAGCGAAAGCACGGAGATAAATGTTTCTTAAAAAGACACAGCCTTTTCCCTGAGAAACCACAACCGCCTCGCGCGCTTACTTGCCATGTTTCGCTCGCCGGCGTTTTTGTTCTTTTTTCACTAACAAAGACAATTCTGTTCAGTCATCAATGTGAATACCAAATTAACGATCACTCTGTAAGGGTATGACTCACTACTATCGGTCCATGGTAGTCTAGCCTAATGTACGTTGAGTGAGAACTTGAACAACTCTCGACTGCAGACCAGCTCAGACTGCGGAAAGCTGTGAGCGTTGGGTAGCCCGTGATGCCATACCGTTGACACGTTAGAGGGTCTGTTGAACAGTTGTGTACAAACACTGACGCCCCTGGAACGAAAAATATTGCAAGTTATGTAGGTTTATAGTAATAACCCACTTAAACTAGAGCAGCATAATTTCGTAAAGCGTGGGAAAACGCGTGGGCGACCAAGTCGTAATTGGTTTTAGGTGTGCATCTGATTGGTTGATTGAGTGAAGCAATGTTTTCTGGGCCAATCACGGCGCGAAGTAAAGGAAAAACAAAGTATCCCGGATTATTTTCGACACTCGATTAAAAATTTCTCTAATGCTATAATACATACCTAAATACTTGGCGTCCGATGATATTCGTTCAATTGTTGGTAAGACCTGATTGCAGTAACTGCAGCCCTCTTGAAGAAACACAACCTACATGAAATCCGTAGAAGAGCTAACTTTTCTTTACGAAGTCAAAACTCACTTTTGTTCAGTCTCCTTGTATGTTAAAACTTAGTCCTTTGAGCGAAGAAGGGGGCGAAAATGGCGGGAAAAAAGCGCGCGAAAAGTTTGGCAATTTGTGTACGCGCTAAGCTTTGTCACTTGTTTTGCGTGAGATATAAGAGGTCTAGAGGAGAAAATCCACAGTTTTATCAAGACTAAGAGCTACTGTATTCTTTAGGTACGTTACAATTGTTAAAGAAAAGCGTTATAACGACGAATGACTCACCAAAGATACAGAAAACAGACGAGATGTTTGCTTGGTTGGAAAAGCTGCGGCAGTGTACGACTTGATCGGACCAACGGATTGCTCCACTAGAGAGGACCAGGTTTTATCATTTACGTATTGAAACTCAAACTTTTCTTGTTGTTTTTTCTGAACTTGGGTCTGTTGAACATGTTCAAACAGGTATGATTGTATTAGTCATTCAAAAGGGCCGATGAAGGTAGAGTGATCAAATAAACAGGTTGTTTTTACCATGAACAATCAAAAGGAAGAGAATATCAGTAGGAACCAAGCAACTGGTGCTGCGTCGGTGGGGGTAACAAGGTAATTTGCTTATATCAACTAAGTTGAAATTGTCATTCGCCCTGACGAAGGGCTAACGCTCGAAACGTCAGCTTTTTTATTCGTTACGGTGACCAAGTTGTGACTGGTTGTTTCTGATCGGCTAAGATAGTGATGCAGCTATTGTGCAGCTGCATCTATCAATAACATCGTAACGGCTCGTTCATTCAAGCGGTTATCGGAACAAGACTTCGAATGGAGGAAAGCAATTTAGTAATAACAACGCTACTGATTACCTTTGTCTGCCAAGACGATGGAGGCAAAGGAGGTCCAAACATAACGTTATTATGCTCAAAATCTGTAACAGTACTGTTGTCTCCTATGGCACACTTGTTTTCTAATATATCAAGGTTGCACACTTTCTGGAAGATACATTTTTAATGACAGTCTGAATTTCAAACAATTGACCCAGAATATCATTATTGCCCCCCCCTCCCCTCCCCCACATCAGACCTGTGGGATTCTTTAGTACTTGTCGGATACCAAAGTTCACTCTTTTACATTCTTCTACAAATTATCAGAAGTATTTTGCAAAACATGACTTATTCTCCGTCCCGGTTAGCTCAATTGATAGTGCGCTGGACTGTTGTGCGGGAGGTCGAGGGTTCGAGCCCCGGCCGGACCAACACTCAAGGTCTTAAAATAATTGAGAAGAATATGCTACCTTTCTATAACATCAAGAAATGGTTAGATATTCTAGTCTTCTCGGATAGGGACGAATAAATGGAGGTCCCGTCTCCTACAGGGTTAGGGGCAGGAGCCGTTAATTTCCCACGCACGAGATTACTGTGTGATGGATGTCCTCCCCTGGGCTGGGATGGGTGGGTTTACTGGGCCCGCAGTAATTGGCGCA